AGTGTCTTCTGCACACTTTGCTCTACCACTCATCTTAGTGTCATCTGCAAATTTTGACACACCACACTTAGTCCCCAACTCCAAATCATCTATGTAAATTGTAAACAATTGCGGGCCCAACACTGATCCCTGAGGCACACCACTAGCCACTGACCGCCAACCAGGACTCAGTGAGAAGATGGACTACATGTGGTTAACAAAGGTAGTCAAGGAGAGTAGCCAATCAAAAACTAATCATTGGCCTTCACAATAGAGGACACCATAAACATCACAAAGTTTCAGGTAAGCATTATGATAAGGGGAGGAAAACAATCTTCTCACTATCGCAAGGGACAAGGTATTCAATAAATTAACAGAATTGTAGACAGGTAAATCAACAGGACATGATAGTCTGCATTCAAGGGTTTTAAAGGAAGTGGCTGTAGAGGCATTGTTCAAAATATTCCAGAACTCACTGGATTCCAGGAGGATTTCAGCAGATTAGAAAATCGGTAATGTGAGGAAGACAGAAATCTGGAAACTACAGGCTAGTCAGCCTAAAATCTGTTGGGTGATTACTAGTTCACAAGAAATACCAGGGGATTTAGTCAACACAGTTTTATGAAAGAGAAATAATGCTTGAAAAATTTCCTAGAGTTCTTTTATTATATAACAAGCAGAGTTGATAAAGGGGAACTGGTAAACATCATGTACTTGGATTTCTACAAGGCATTCAATGAGATGCCTCTAAGAAGGCTATTGTCCAAGAAACGAGTTCACAGTATTGGGATAATGCATTAGCTTCGACTATAGATTGATTAACAAACAGAAGATATGGAGTCAGGATTAATGGGTTATTTCAGGTTATAGAATCGAATCATAGAATCCCTGGTACAGAAAGAGGCCATTCAGTCCATCGGATCTGCACCGACACTTCAAACAGCATCCTACCCAGATCCAGCTCTCTACCTTTTCCCCGCATTTACTTTGGCTAAACACCTAGCCTGCACATTCCTAGGCACTCCGGGACAACGTAGAATGGCTAATTCACCTAACCTGCACATCTTTGGACTGTGGGAGGAATCCAGAGCACCTACGAAAACCCATGCATACACGGGAAAAACGTGGTCGGAAGGATATAATTAGTGGTGTCCGCAAGGATCAGTCTTGGGGCTTCAATTATTTACAATCTGTATTAATGAACTGGGGGAGGTGGCAGATTGTAATGTATCCAAATTTGCTGACAATATAAAAATAAGTGGATGGGCAATTGGTGAAAACGATGCAAGAAATCTTCAAGGGAATATAGATAGATTGAGTGAGTGGGCAAAAACTTGGCAGATGGACTTTAATGAAAATGAGAGGTCATGCACTTTGGTACAAAGAATCAAAAAGGCAAACTATTATTTAAATGGAAAGAGACTTCAAAATAGGGAGGGGAGAGATCTGGGTGTTCTTGTGCATGAAACATCATAAGTTAAAAATGCAGGCCCAGTAAATACTTAAGATAATGGATGGAATTGTGGGCTTTATTGCTAGCAGTTGTATTTTAAAAACAGGAAGTCTTCTTATGATGGAACAGGGTATTGGTGATGGTGGTTTTAGAGGGTACAACTTTGGTCCCAACACTTAAAGGATATAGTGGGATTGCAGGCAGTTCAAAAGAGACTCATTAGGCTGATTTCTGAAGTGAAGTGGGTGACTGATCAAGAACAGCTAAACAGGCTACGCCTTTATTCATTACAGTCATAGAGTCATAGACTTGTACAGCATGGAAATAGACCCTTTGGTCCAAATTCTCTATGCTGAGGACTTATTCTCAATTAATCCGGTGTGAGGTGTGATCTTATTAAAGCAGAGAAGATTGTGAAGGGGCTTCACAGGATAACTGTTGAGAATCAGTTTCCACTAGTGCAGCAATCTCGAATTAGGGGAGACAGTTGCAGAGTAAGGGAGCATTCAGTTAACACTGAGACGAAAAGGAATTTCTTCTCCCAGAGGGTAGTGAATGTCTGGAGTTCTCTACCATAGAGACGTGGTGGCTAGATTACTGTAAGTACTTAAAGAGGTAGCACACAGGCAGCATAGAGCCAGGAGGAGCTGGCCCGAACGAGGAGTTGAAGCCCGGGGCAAATCAGACATGCAGGTTTAAGGGGCTGAATTGCCTACTCCCGTTCGTTTTTTTAATATTCTTATGTTGCACAAAGCATATAACTATACAAAGATGACTAGCAAGTCAGATGAAAGGTCAGAATATAAAGAGCGGCAGAGAATGATCACGAAGTTATTAAGCAAGAAGAAATTAAGAGTATGAGGGAAAGCTAGCTAGGAGTGTAAAAACAGATAACAAGAGCTTTTACAGATATGCGAAGCAGAAAGTGTCAGTCCTCTAGACAGTGACAGCAGTGATTTAATATCAGGTAAGAAGGAAACAATAGATGAAATGCTTTGCTTCTCTTTTCAGTATAGAGAATACAAAGAAGCATTCCAGTAATAGGTGTAAAAGGGGAGATGAAACAGAGAAAGAATTTAGCAAAATTACAAGGGAAGTGATAGGAAGCACAGCGACAGAGCTGCAGTCTGACAAATCTTCAGGTCCTGATGGATTTCCAGCTAGAGTCTCGTAGTAGGTTGCTAATAAAAGTAGTAGATGCTTTCGTGTTAATTTTCCAAAATTCACTAAATTCAGGCAAGGTTCCAAACAAACTAGCAAGTAGCAAATATAATATTCAAGGGTGGGAGCAGGAAACTTTAAGTCAGTCAGTTAATTTGACACATGTAATGGAAAAAGGTGGCAGAATCTGAGATCCTAACTGCGCATTTAGAAAATCTCAACATAATCCAGAAGCAGCAACATGGTTTCTTCAAAGAGAAATCAGGTTTAATCAATTAACTTGAGTTCTTTGAAAGAGCAACATACTCTGTGGATAAGTGGAGCCAGATGTATGTCCTAAGGAAGGGTCACCAGACCCAAAACAGTAACTCTGATTATTTTCTTCACAGATGCTGCCAGACCTGCTGAACTTTTCCAGCAACTTCTCTTTTTGTTCCAGATGTACTATATTTGGATCTCTAGATGACATAATGATAAGGTGCTAATATAAAGAATAATGCAGAAAATAAAATACGTTAGCATGGATAGAGGTTTGGTCTTGCTGGCGGAAAACAAAACTTACCAATGACAGGAAGATATTTAAGGAAGTATGCTGAAAAAATGAGGAAGTTTGCTATCAGAGACTCGAGTGTCTTTGGAACTCCTTGCCACATTAAGCTGTGAGTACAGTCCTTGTGTATATTTAAGGCTGAGACAGATAAATTCTTGAACAGTAGGCAATCAATGGGGAAAAAGTGGGAAAGTGGACATGAGGAATATCAGATCAACCATAATCCTACTGAATTGCAGAATAGGCTTGAGGTGTCAAACAGCCTACTCCTGTTCCTATTTCTTATGGTTTAAGTTGCAGATACATTTGGATAGGTCGAATGAACATGACAAAACTTGGCAGATGGAGTAAATGTGAAAATTTTCAGTTTGTGAGGAAGACAAAACAGCAGAAAATTAACAAAGAACAACTGTAGAATTTCATGGTGCAAATGGATTTAGGTGCTCTGGTGCATGAATCACAAAGAGAGTTACTGTATAGGTACAGCACGTACTCAAGGTGGCTATGGAATGCTTTTTCTTCATTACAAGAGAGTGTGTCATACTTCAATTATACAGGACATTGGTAAGACAGCATCTTGTATATTTGTGCAACTGTGGTGTCCTTATTTAAGGAAGGATGTAAATACAGTGGAGGCAGGTCAGAGAAGCTTTGCTAGACTGACACCTGGATAAGCTGGTAGTCTTATGATAGGTTGGACATGTTTGTACTGGAGTTTAGAAGAGCGAGGGGTGACTTGATCGAGGTGTGTAACTTCCCGAATGGTCTTGTCAAAGTGAACATGAAAAGGACACTTCTTTTTGTGGTTAAGTCTGATTGTGGTCACTGTTTTAAAATTAGGGGGTCACCTTTTCAGGACAAAGATGGAGGAAATTTTTGTGGCTCTCAGACTTTGGAAACTTTGGAAACATCTGCCTCAGGCAGTCATTGAATATTAAGACAGGGCTGGATAGATTCTTGTTAGGCAGCAAGGAGACAAACAGACTACTGTTGCTCCATTTTTTACCTTCAATGCCTTTGTTATGCCTAGACGGGACTACTTCAACATAAAACTCATCACTGATCATTGGGCTGTTTTACCCAAGACTATATGAGTAGAATTCACAGTGTATAATTGTACAGCATTTCTAGATATTAAAGATATCAAGATATAGAGGGATTGGGTGAGAAAATGACATGGAGGTAGGTGATTAGCCACGGTCTAGTTGAACATCAGATCAGAGTCAAGGGGCCAAACAGCTTCTTCTTGCTCCTATATCTTATGTTCCTAATTGCAATTTAAGTTCTTAAATTACAATTCTCATGTTACACCTGTGAGATCTTTATGTGCCACAGCACAGATTAATTGGCTGGATAGTTCAATGCAATTTACCTAAGCAAATACACATAGTTCCATTTATTTATTTTCTCCAGACCTGGAAGCAGATGCTTGCAATTTGTATACAGAATACTTTGTTAGTTTCAATTTAAACAAAAGCAAACTAAGAGGTGGATGGCTCTTTCGTGGACCTCAACCATCCCCATTTCCAATTGGCCACTAAATAGGCATGTAGACATGAAGGTTGAGGAAATAATATTCTCTAAACTTCATATTACTATCCAAAAGTGAAAGATGTAGATTGTTTAAATCATTACCATTCCAGTCTACTGATGTAAAGTTGCATATAAAGTTAGGATTGTTCACAAGTTACTGGCATATTTAAATTATTAAACTTGAGTATTTAAAATTCCAAAATAAACAATAAATAGTAACTTGAGTAGAAGCAAAATGAATGGCCCCATGAGCCACTTAAGAAATAAAGTATGCCATTCTGTTTACAGCAAGTCTTCTGAAAAAATAAAAATATGAAAATGTACCTGTCAACTTTGCATGCCTTGTACCAGCCTCCATATTCACCAAATGTGGTGCCATCTTTTGGTTTTCCCTAAGTAGAATACAATATGTAATATGCATAATGTATAAAACATGCTTATATATGAAATTCAGGCATCTGAGAAAAAATGCATTAATAAAATTAAGTGTAGAATGCAGTGGTATGGAACACTTATTATTTCAACATCTTCTGGTAGTTTGAGCTCAGGCACTCCATAAAAAGGTAACATTTGAGAAGACCAACATGAAAATTCCTCAAACTCATGTCTCAATCTCACTCAGCACATCTACAGAAATTCATATTGACTGTCACCTTTTTAAAGGAGGGGAAATATTACATATCAAAGTGAGCCTTTCAGGAAAACCTGCCTATCAAAATTACCGGTAGATTCATAGGACACTGATTGCATATCCTCTTGATTAAAGATGGTGCATGTTATACTGTGATCACAAAATACTTTCCAACTCACTGATTAAAGACAGGAAAGTTTAAGTAATGCAACACATTCATACCTTTCCAATATTACAGAAATCTTTTATGGATTCATTTTATGATTGTTCTGAAACAGACTAAAAGCATGTTGTAATAACACTAAAAACAATAGCAAAATTACGTTAACCAACTTAAACTTACTTTGCATTGTTCCTCTCTTTCTTCAGCATGCATCCAAATAGGCTTATTTTCATCTGGGAAAAGATAATACAATCACTTTTCAGACAGAAAGTAAACTCACCATGAGAAGATTGTTCTATAATCTTAATAATTTGATCTTTCATTCAAGATTATCTTTCTAAAAGAAAGATGAAATAGACTGTTCAAATAAAATAGCAGGAGAGAGTAGGCATTAAAGTAAGAAAAGATGACAGAGCTCACGTAAGACTGGAATGTTATATCTGTACACTTCTAGTCATTGTTAATTCAAAAAATTATCCATACACCCAGAAAGACAGCACCTAATTTCTCCAGCACCCACAAAAACAAAGTAAATGGGGAAGAAAGCAAACAGAATATAAACTTAGTTCATGCTGACCTATGTAACAGAAATTAGTTAAATTATGCTTGTCAGGAGTGGGGGGGGGGGG